TACATGCACTTTTTATCTTTATTTGAGGCTTTGATCATTTAGAAGTGACCTTTTCTCATCTTTCCCCGTCAGACCCCGTGGTGGCCTCCCTGGCTCAGGACATCTTTAAGGAGCTGGCTCAGATCGAAGGCTGTCAGGGCCCCATGCAGATGCGACTCATTCCCACACTAATCAGCATCATGCAGGCTCCACCTGATAAGATCCCCTCTGGACTCTGTGCTGTACGTGCAACATATCATTTATATTACTTACCTGCAGAGATTGTGTTAAGCAAATGTCTTATTTATTTCAGTTTTTTGATTCATTGGTTCTTTCAATGTTTCGATTGCATGGAGTTGCACTCATTTATTTCTTTGTCTCTGCAGACATCAATAGACATTCTGGCCACAGTGGTCCGAAACACAAAGCCCCCTCTGTCAGAGCTGTTGGTGTGTCAGGCCTTTCCTGTGGTAGCACAGTGCACCTTACGAACTGATGACCACACAGTAATGCAGGTAATAAAAGCTTCATATATTCAGATATATGTAGTTTTTTTTTTTTTCCGGCAAGACTTTTCTGTCAAGCAAAAATTTGAGTTGCATGTAGAGATTGTCATCTTTATGTTCTGAGACTTGAGGCAGTCGAGGCTACCTGTAACTAAGTCGAGCTAGATAGTGAGCTTTTTTGCTCTATTATGGGCACTTGCAAATTTATCACCAGTTGGCTGGACGACGTTTGTTTTCACCACTCTCACTCATATTGTCAGCCCATTCAAGGCTACGTCCGTTTTGTGCAAAAAATTGACACTGTGGGTGTTAAGGAGGTAAAGAGCCAACTGTGGTGTGAAAAGCACAAAGCTGCTAGCAAAAACAGACAAATCCAGAAAATATACATTTTTGCCGTGCTTGATTTTAATACACCAGGATCCTCCAACCATGCCTGATTTTTATTATTTTTGCGGGGGTCTTAGATTTTATTCAAGGTAGCATTAAAAGGTCTTAATTTCGACTTTTTGAATTCTAGTTTTAGAAGTTGAAATGATGAGCAATCTGGAAAATTTCTCATGTTTCTTTCCGTCTTGCCAGAACGGAGGCGAATGCCTGCGAGCGTACGTCTCTGTCGCCCTGGAGCAGATTGCCCAGTGGAGGGACGAGCAGGGCAACAGCGGCCTGTGGTACGTCATGCAGGTGGTCAACCAGCTGTTGGACCCCCGGACCTCTGAGTCCACGGCGGTCTTCGTGGGACGGCTGGTGTCCACTCTGATCTCTCGGGCTGGAACGGAGCTTGGGGACCAGCTGGATCACATCCTCAGAGCCATTCTCAGCAAAATGCAGCAAGCTGAGGCTCTGAGCGTCATGCAGGTAGAGAGCAAAGATGGAAGGAAAGGCTAATCTCAATAAATCAGAATCCCAGTAATTCAGCTCAAAACCAGAACTCAAACAGGTTGATTACACCCAGAGCATAATATTGCAAGCATTTTGTTTTCATCTTGGTTGTTATGGCTGATAGAAAGTAAAACCAAAAACAGTGTTGCACTAACAAAATGTAAAATATTACAATAAGCATATTTTTGGTTCAGAATGATCCTACTGTGAAGTATTCCCATGTTTTGGACAGTAATATTCCTCTGTTTGCAATAAATCTTTCACTCCCTGTATTGAATTACTGAAAAAAAAAAAAACTTTAGGTGATTTTCTCATTAATTGAGATGCGTCTAGATTGGTAGACATTCTTTTTTTTTTCTTAGAGTTGCCTTATTTCTTGATCTGTCTCCCTTCTCATCCTGCAGTCTCTCATCATGGTGTTTGCCCACCTGGTCCACTCCCAGCTGGACCCCCTGCTGGAGTTTCTGTGCAGTCTGCCAGGTCCGACTGGAAAACCTGCCTTGGAGTTTGTCATGACGGAGTGGATGAGCAGGCAGCATCTTTTCTACGGACAGTATGAGGGTAAAGTCAGGTCAGACGACTTTCTTTTCTTACATATGTTTTGGGTTTGTGTGCTGAGACTTCCCCTATCTCCCCTTGCCTCCCTCAAACTGTCTCCATCTTTGTGCGTTTATCCGTGCAGCACTGTGGCGCTGTGTAAACTTCTGCAGCATGGCATAAACGCTGACGACAAGCGACTTCAGGACATCATGGTTAAGGGAGAAGAAATCTACAACCCAGAAGATGGCATTCGCACTCGCTCCAAATCTGCCAAAAGTAAATCTAAACTATTGAGAAAGTTTTCATTTTTGTGGCACATATTTTTATTTTTTGGAATGTAGTAAATATATCTGTTTTTGATGGATCATTTTTATAGACCCAGAACGCTGGACAAACATTCCTTTACTGGTGAAAATCTTTAAACTGATCATCAACGAGTTATCGACGGTGGTGGAAGCGAATGCCAGCAGGGCGAACGCTGCTGACTGGAGCCACGGTGAGGAGTAGTGATGAAAATAGTCAATCCTCTACTGAATCAATAAAAACGGTGTTGAGAGTTTTATGTTACAACATTTTTCCTAATAAAATCTGCGCGGCCATTTTCTGTTCCTGTCTCAGATTCCAGCGGCATGTGGGACGACCAGGAGGAAGGGGAGGGAGACGATGATGAGGAGGATGAAGGATTAGGGCAACTGCTGTCCGATCTCATTTCATCTAACAAATATGGTGAAGTATTTCTGTTGAGTGTCTTGGTTTTACCTGAATTTACATTTCTAATACTCGTATTATTTTGACAGATGATGATTATTATGAGGATGATGAGGAAGATGATCCAGACGCCTTGAAAGACCCCATTTATCAGATCGATCTGCAGGTACGTGCTCACTTTTTAGTTAATTTGTACTAGAGATACATCGATCCGGTATTGGTATTTGCATCGGTTCCGATATTGGAAAAAAAAAAATGTAGATTGGGTGTTTGTGACAATGTGCTTGATCTATAAGCACAGATCTATTTAATCTAATTGTGTTCTATGTTCTGAATGGATTTATGCTTTATTGTTTATTTTAGAATTCCTAGTTGACTTTCTGAGTCGTTTGAAAGTTTTTTTTCTGTTTGTTTTGACACATTTGACCAAGATAGTACACCTGTTGTTTTTGTCAATATCTTTTCTTTACCATTTATTTTCCATTAACTGTATAACAGTTGTTTTTACATGTTTGACTAAGCTTGTGAAGCTATTAATGTATTTAATTGTGCTGTTCTGGTGGAGAGTCATCAAATAATTTTTTAATTCAGTACATTTTGTCTTTATTAACAAAAATAACCTTTGGTCTGTCAATTCAGCATTCTTTCTGTATTAAATCAGAATCGGCCGATTCTAAACCTCTGATATCTGTATCGATATCAGGAGTGAAAAGTAATTTATATGTTTTTTTTCTACTTGTCTAACCTGTCGTCCAGCCATCCGGACATTATTTTTTCTGATTAAAGTATTTAATTTTGATCACAGTAAATGAGTTTACTAATGATTCAGGGTGGACTTAAGTATTTACACTTTGAAAGAGCCCATTTAAATTAAAATTTAAATCTGCCAAGACAAAATTTCAAAATTAAAAGTTTTTAACAGCATTTTCTTTCTTGTTTTTTTTTTAATCTGAATTAATAGTTATTAATTCAGATAACCATTTTTAAAGATTTCTCTTTCTCCCCTCAGGCTTACCTGACAGACTTTCTGACACAGTTCGCTCAGCAGCCATGCTACAGCATGTTCTCAAACCACCTCAACAACACGGAGAGACAAACCCTGCAGTCTATAGGCCTGTAGACGTGCTGTTTGATACTCCAACTCATCTTCCATCAACACCACCCTGAAATATCCCTCTATCGCCCTGTCAAGTCACTCATGATGAATTTAAGACTTAAGTGAAAGGACAGAAGGACAAAGATCGATAGAGGCAGGAGGGGCACAACTTGGAAAAGAACTTGTGCACTTAACTTTGACTTCCTTTTTTTACCTCATGTAAATGATGAGATGAAGGACCTTGCCGATGCTAAGAGGCCGGACAAATCTCATTCTAAAAGGTCAACATACTCTTGAAGACCTTCAGTCTGGACAAGAAAAGGGACATGTGTTTGCTGAGAAGGACTAATGAATCTCAACATCTGGGGCAACTGTTTGTAATTTAGCCTATTGTATTTGTGTTTCTATCAGAAGTGGAAATGCAACATGGTACATTTTTCCAAAAGACTTCACACTGGTGGAAGGAAAACTAACATTTTAGTGAGGGAGTCTGGTGGCCTTATATTCCAGAAAAACAGTGACTGTTTGACAGGAAATGCAAAGCTCTTAGACCAGCTGTCATGTCTCGGGGTTTGGTGGGAATTGGGGAAATCACACTGTTGCCATTTTGGATCAATGCCTTCTCATTTCATTGTATCTATTGAAGTTTAGAATGAAAATATTTCTAAATAAAAGTTCCTAGCAGGAGATTATTACGAGGTTTTTTTTATGTTAGACTCTGAAAGTTGTAAACTTGTATCTGGAAAAATATGCAGTTGACTGAATACAATTACATTTCATGCTATTTCTAGCTGTTTTAACATTTTTTGGAACATTTCAAACGGTCATTAAAATTTTTTACTTGGTTTGTCAATGTTGCGTTGCCATAAAACAGCAATATATGTCTGATACAACCCTTTAAACCTCTTTTGATCAATAGTTACGCAATCAGAAAGGTGTTGTATAGCACCATGTTTTTCATTGAATTCTTCATTTGTCTTTATCCCATATTTTTGACAGTTTATATTTGGCTTCACAAGAAAGGTGTGGAGGTAAAAATTAGACTGCTAAATCATCCGTGAGGACAGGGTGAGAAAAGGGAAGATGCGTTCAGGATAGCTCGAAGTTGTCAGCTACACATAGCCATTTAACATTATTAACTAAATACATTGCCTGAGAGGTGTGGTTTTTGCACAAACGTTATATTGTGAATATATTATACAGTTTTTCTGAGGCATTATAGCTTTATTCATATTAAAACTCCTAATAAAGGGTGATTTAGTAGGAGGCGGGGTATTTTTGTTTTTTTTACGCAGTCGCGAAGGCAGCGTCCAACTGCTCCTGGGGAAACAGCGTCACCATCGCGATGCGACGTTTACATGGATAAATCACCAGCGTTCAACTCCGTCCCGTCACACATGCTGAGCTCCCAAACCATCCTGGATTATGTCTGAGACCGACCGCTAGCCGCGGCTGTTTTTGTGGGGTTCTACCGAAGAACTCCGTAGCTGTTCACTGAGACGTCCAGCTCCACACATTTTTACGATGGGAATGGTCTTTCCGACGGGCAAAATGTCCCCCATTTCGGTGGCTTTGGCGCTGCTCACCGTCGTCTCCTGCACTTCTCCGGGTAAGATGATAAGCTTTGTGTACAGGCCGCACCGTTAGCTAATGGGAACTCCTCCGTGGCCGTTATCTAGCTTACCTGCTAACCATTAACTCGGACTCGTCCAGTCTTTACAAGTTTTATAACGGCTACTCAATAGTGACTTAATATGACATCATTTTAATGTTTGTGACAATCGTCATAATGAAAAGTTTCAATCTGACATCAGGGTGTCTCTTCTAGTGACATAATCTTATATAACTGCACAAAAATACCGTTGAAAATGCCAATTACTTTTAGGTGCTCGTTTTTACGTTGAAACGATCGCAACATTCAACTGCCTTTTAGCTCAAATGCTCACATATTGTTGGAGTGACTTTCTTGGACATAATTTATTTTTATATGCATATGAGCACTATAAAAATCCATATGTCAGTTGAAGAAAAACAAAAAAAAACTTTTGATTAAATTTGTGCTCGCCAGTCGCCTCTTGATGGTAAAAATCTGTTGTTTTTGTTTTTTGCTTCTAGTTTCATTAAATGCATCACACAAAAAGTCCCACTTTTATTGTTGAATTCTACCAATGAATTTGTTTTTGGTTATTTTTTTTTATTTGGTAGTTGTTTTAGATAGCCTACTGATCTTGTCTAAGTTGTCTTGTTAAAATAGTCATTTCTTTCTACTGTCCCCTCATGCTTGCTCAGGTGTACACATTTTTTCCAGGAAATAGTGACTTGATACAACTGATAGTGTGACCATTTGTAGAGAATATTTTACCTATTACCATTAAGTTTAACTACATTATATTATATGGAGCATAACACTGGAGAGTATTTTTGGAGGGATTCAAAGCTACCACAATGTCAAATAACCGTATGTGCTTTATCCCCTGTAATGAATTAATAAAGTTTTTGTAGATGTGCTTGCATAGTTTGCAGTTTTAGAAAGCAAATTCAAAGTTCAAATCAAAGCTCAAAGAAAATGTAAGCGGTTTCTTTGGCCTGATTGGTGCATTTCTAGCCTCCAACTACAGCTTTCAGCTGCACCGTTTGTAAACAACCTCAAAACAGAATATTTCTGTCTTTGTATTGGCAGTGTTTGCTGCAGATTTTAATGCTTTGATTAAGTTTTATGCCTACAATGTATGAAGCAGGCATACAATATCTTTGTATAGGCTACATGTTGCAGTGCAGCTGTAGTATTTTAGTTTATTAAAATTGTGTGTCAAAGTGAATTGATTTTTGTTGTTGTTGAGGCGAGCAGCTAAAGGTCAACGTCCAAATTTAGTCTCACCAGGTTGAAGAAACAAGTCATTGAGTGTCTCAACTTCTGATCCCTACAGTTGTTAAAACTTCATGCAAAAACAAGTCCTGGCTTTATTTCCTGAATAGAACATTATTTTTAAGACTGGAGATGCTTTACATTCCATTCCTGTTTTCTCCAAGAGTTACAGGACTGAGGATGTATGACTGCTGCGGCACGCTGGGATTGAATTGTGCCTTAAATTTTGTTTGAGATGTGTCCAGTTAATGTCTTTAAAAGGTGTACAGGATCAATTTTAATTCCCTATTAATAAAGTATTGTGCTAAGTCTAGAGATAATCATGTAACTTTATGTGTAATTTGATAATTGATGCATAATAAATTAACTGTGACTGCCACATAAAGTTTATTTTATTTAATCATACATTCATTTAATACTCAATACCTAGATATTTTTTTTCCATGGAAAATGGCAAAAGCTCCATCCTTGTTTATTCATCAGTTTATTTATTTAGAACATGATAGAAGTATAAAATCACTCGCATGAACAAGGAATGCAAAAGACATATGCTTTCTGGTCTTTAAATTACATTACTTTGCTATCTTGCCTGACCAAACTTAATCCAGCTACTTTTTATGGGAGATCAATTTGGAAAGGACAAATGTCAATTAAATCTTTAAACAGTTTCGTTTGCTGCATTCTAGATAACTTAAGTTACTTGAGCCTGAATCAGATTTCAGACCCTTCCAAAGGAAAGTGTTGAATAATGCACTCCAGCTCCTGCTAACAAAAGCAAGAGAGACACACATCAGCTTTTTAAAACATTTCTTTCTTTTGGTTTTGGAGGCAGAACAAAATGGATTCTGTAAAATGAACATTGAAGACCCCCCGCTGTGATTGGAACAAACCACATGTTGTGTCATTTCGCCTCATGCCTCGCTGTTGCTGTCGTTTCGCAGTGAGTGGGAACGAGGATTGTCTGTGGTACGTGGATAAAAATGGCACCTGGCACAACGGCTTCGACTGTCCTCTCATCTCATCCTGCTGCGGCAACTGCCACCGGCGTTACTGCTGCATGGATCCCTTCAAGATAATCACAGAGAGGGAGCAGAAACGATGCATGCTGTTCCAGTTCAGGTGGGACGCCTGCTGCAGCAGGGTTTTAATTTAATTACTTACTAATAATTTAGTCAACACCATGGTCTATTTGTTGATGTTCCAGGAACTTTTTTAACTTTTGTAATTTTCTTTAAGGAAGCAGGTCTTTATTTTGTTTTGATATTTTCACAAAATGACCTTGCCTGAAAGATGTACCATTCTTTTCTTGGTTTCGCAGAAAATAAACATCATCTCCAAAGCAATAACAGTTGTGATACTAATAAAAATGATTCCATTGATTCTAAAATGCTATCTATATTTTAGAAATGACATAAAACAGCTGCAGCATATTTTCTTCAGCTCAATGGTGTCCAAAGTGCAGTCTGCAGATTTACTTGAAAAATTTTACAAGTAAAATTGTCTTGAATGAATAAAATTTAGGCCGAAAATAAATCAACAACTTAGCAATAAATGGAACCACAAACATCAAGCAACTTTTACCCAGACCTGATTTGGGTCATGAAATCAGAACACCGTTCAGTAAAATATGTTTAGTTTGTTTTTGAGGAGATAAAAATAAAAAACATTTACAAGAAATTTTAATTTTGGTACATTTTTTTTCATTGTAGTAGCCTAAAAGTGCTATTCTGGCCCCCACAGCAAAACATTTGTAAATTAATTAATATGATTAATATCTATTGAAGGGATTTAATATTATAATCAGTTGTACAGTGTTGTGTAATTGTACAAAATGGCAGTTTGTTGGTCGTTGAGAGTGTGAACTTGCATTATAATGGCTCTATTAATATTATCATTTATTGCAATAACTTCTTATACAGTAAAAGGCCTTTCTTCACTACTAAAGTTCCATGTGAGGGATTTTGGTATTGCTGGATTGTTCCGCTGTGTACCTGAGCGGCTGCAGCACAGCAACTTTCCTGCTTATTTCTGGAACCGTTCCATCCCAACTCGCAGTTTTCACCCTGCTGGGAATCTGATCAGTGAGCGTCGGAGGCTGAGATGAAATTCGGGGCGGTTTACGTCGTTTACTGAGCCTTAAAGTCGGGGACAGTTGTAGGTGACGGCTGTGTGTGTGAATGAAGGCGCCTGTCATCTCTCCTTTGATCTACTCAGACAGGCAGCAGATCAGGAACATCATGAGGATGGGGTGATCAAAGTGAGAAGTGGAGCATTTTGAAACTCCCTGCTGTTTTTCCTCCTTTCTCCTCAGTCCCAGCACTTTAATCGGCATCGCGTCGTCCATTCTGCTGTTCGTGGCCATCATTGCCACCATGGTTTGCTGCTTCATGTGCTCCTGCTGTTACCTCTACCAAAGGAGGCAGCAGAGAGGCAGAACACCATATGATGGTTAGACCTTAAATATTTACCTCCATGTGAGAACATTTTATTTAATAACTGCATTATTTAATTTATTTTTTTTTATTTTTGGCCCTCAGTCCAACACATCCCCATGGCCAGCTACCCTGTGGAGCCGATGCGCGACGCGTTTGGAAAACCTCTTGGGCCTTCAGAGTATCCACATGCAGGCTATCCCATGATGCCTCAGTATGCTGGCATGCCTGTTCATTACCCAATGATGCATCCAGGACCATACCCATCTCAATCAATAGATCCGGCATACAGCCAAGGTAAAACGCATCCGAGCATTTCTGTCCACAACTTTTAAAGTTCTTTTAAATCAAACCCTTTTAAATTTTGTGTAATTTGTGCTCAAATGTTTGAATGTATTTTGTTCATTGTTTTAGTGGTGAGTCCATTGTTTGTTGATCCAAACATCCTATATCAAAAATCAATGAGTCAGCGTTTAGACACTGGCAAAAGAAATCCAATGTCCAAACTCTTGAAGGCTGCGTTTTGCAAGTGGTTTATTCAGATTAGCAAGCAATAAACACAGATCCACCTTTCTATTGTTTAACTTAAGCAATGCTACGAAAACAGGAGCATTGGAAATATTCTGAAGATTGTAAATCAGTAACTCTGAGATGTCCAACATTTTCAAATCTAACTTGTCCAGTGAAGAGAAGAGTTGATTGTTCAAAAGGACAGTAAGATCGAGTCTTCTTCAGCCAGTAACAACCCACGCAACAAAGTGTGGTTGCCATTGCAGCCTGGTAACATTTGGTGTAATGCGTTCACTGATGAGAAAGAAAAAAAAAAAAAATTGCGTGCTTGACAGCCGGGTCGCTGGTTAATGCCTAACAAGTTGACAACGGGTTAAATTTGTGACACAGACCGTCTTAAAGCCTTTTGCAAAAACAATGATAAATTAAAATGAGCTCAATAATATCCATTCTGATGTTTAACCTTTTTTGAATAGAAAGTTTGTTTACAGAGACATCTTCATTTTCTGGAGTTTGTTTCATTTCTGTTTTATTTATTATTTTCACTTGTTTAATTTTGAATATTTAAAATGTCTTCCATTTCCAGTGTTTAAGTGTTTTTTTTATCAAATTAAAGTTTGATATTTGAGAGGGCTAATAATATGCCATTATCAATATATTACTTGAAAATAATAAGCAATATATTGTAATATCTCAGAACAATATTATTGATAATTGCTAGAATTATCGGGACAATTTATCGTCCAGCAAAATGTATTATGACATCCCTAAACATCTTTTTTCCAGAACTCAGCTTCATTGACAAATCCCTCAACATCCTTTTAACACTTTTCTTCAAAGACTAAAAACAACTAAAGCTGTCGACTAAGTGCTGTGTTGTTTTTGTTTTTTACTCATGATTTTCTTATTTTTTCAGCCCCACCTCCTTACTCTCCGCCTCAGTATCCTGGTCACTGATGGGCTCATCTTCACACATAAACACAGCTGAGAGAAATGACTGTTTGGGAAGGAGAAGGCAGTCTAACACACCCGTTAAAATAAACCTGCAGCTCAAAAGGGAGTGGTTTCAATGCGGAGGAGGAAAGGAGACACTTTAATCTTTACTTTGTTTGCTGTTTGTTTGCAGCGTCATCCTACGTTTCCAAAATAGTAATGTATTCAGTTCTACAACCTGAATTCAGATTTTCTTTTGCCGATTTTTAAAAAAAAATTTTCACGTCATAAAATTAACGGAGAATCTGTCGAGGCATTTTGAGTTTTGCTCTAAGTGTCACTAGAAGACACTTCTCCCTGGCTTACAGAAAACCAAAGTTGAAGAACATGACTTGTGATGCACTCTTTTAAGTGTTGAAGGGAATAAATGTGTAACTTTTTTCACGTTTGTTAAATTCAAAGAAACTGCTGTGTTTCTGTTTGACAAGTATTTTATCCCGATCCTGAAGTTTAGCATCTTTCTATTTGTGTCTGGGGCTGAGGTAAAAAAGCAAAAAAAAAAGCAAATGAGATGCATGTTTTGATGATAAATTTTATTTGAAAAAAAAAAATTCTTTCACCTGTTAGTTCAAACTCAACCTGATCTGTTTTGATATACGTGTCGTGCAAATATTTCTGGACATGTTGTAAGTGATGCCATCTTAGCATCATTGTGCTTCCTCAGTTAGGATTAGCTTTCCTCCTCAGCTGTTTTCTTTTATGGTTTAAAATAAACTTTAATATTAGACACACTGCCAGGCAGGAAAACTGCAAATGTTGCATTTTTATTTCCTGCAACTTAGGAGTTACAGGAGTCCTACTGCTTGATTTAAACAGTCTACACTACACATTAATAAAACATGAAGAAAAAGAGAGAATATTCATTACATATTTTGTAAAACTGTCCCTTGGTTTAATATTGTAACAAGTTGTTTTAAAACGGTGTAGTGTTATTGTAACAGAGGACTCTTTTGTTGAGTGTTTGTCATTACTGAGGTTACCTCTTACTGTGAATGACTCCGTTCCATCTGGACTCGGCTACAGAGCCAAAATAAAGTTCTTCCAAGTCGAGATGCATCGATCAGGCTTTTTCTGCGTGGAACTGAGCTCTACTTTTCTTTGAGGTCTAAGCTGCTGAATTCAAATTTTATTGGGTTTATCTTGTGTTGCGAGAACTACTACACATAATTTAAAAATAGATGCACTGTCTTGATAGAATTAGAACTTTAGGATTCATCACATAATTAAGGAGGTGGGATTATGTCCATCCACGCATCAGGCATCTGTCCCTTTACTTCAGCAGGGGTTTTTTTAGCTCAAAGTGAGTGCATCAAAATTTATGCATTTGGAGACCAAACATGGTAGGAGTTTATTGTTCTAGTGAATATTTGATCCACCACCTCCAATCAGAGTCCATTAAATAAATCTGATTGACTGGTTGGTGCATTTATACTTGAAAGGGTTATCTTGGTATTTTTGAAAATCCTGTTTATCTGCTTGTAATATTTTAATTCTTGCCAAGTTCAAATGAGAGAATTTATTGAAAAACTCTTAGTAAAAGCAATAAATAAAACCCAGGAATTGCCTGAGTGAAAGTAAAATTTAAGAAGTTTAGGAAATTATCTAAAAATATTGACAATGCAAAAGTTGTATTTGTGGGGTTTAAACACAAAAACTGGCTTTTTTTTTTTTTTTTTGCTTTGTGCTCGATTATTTTATTGTGTATTGATGAATTCAACAAAACTGAAAATAGGATAAAGGATAACTGTTAAATACAGTAACACATGCCAATGTAAATTTAATTTCTTTCACAAAGTAGAGATATAATTGAGACACAGATACATTTACTGCAGAATTATGAAAAGCTGAGCGGTAAATAGGCCAATGACATTGACTCACCTCATGCAACTACATGTTAACTAAATCAACAGCAAAGAATATGCAATACTTTGAGTTAATAACTAAGTTTTCTCACCTAAAATTATACGACTTCTCACATCTGGATTTAACAAGAGATTTACTAGAATGCCAAGCTGTTCATTAGTTATGTTCAGATTTGTTTACGTCAAGTTTCCTGTTGCCCCTGCAGATGACTTCCTGGCTGCATTTAGTTAGGTACGTTTGTAGTAAATGCATTTAGAAAGCACGTCTGATCAAATGACCGAGATTTATTCTGTATCTTATCTCTGTTGATCTTCTCTGTGAACTAGGGAATACCCATCAGTATTTTTTCTAGTGTAAATTACCAACTCCTGCATCCAACTGTACAGATTTGTTGAAACTTGACAACACTGGGATTTTCTCTGTTCCTTTCATAAGTGGTTTAATAAAAATTTTTGCCCAATAATGTTAATGTTTGTTTCTGCTTCTAAACCAACTCCATGAGTGTGTTTTAATGAAACTGATATGTAGATGGAGAAATGACATGTCTATGGCATTTGTCTCTTGTATGGACAAAATGACACTGTAACATAAATGAAAAGAAATTATTTATTAATAAAAACTTTAACTTTGGATTGTAAAACATGACAGTGTGTTGTGGACTCTTTATTCTTAGGATTTTGTTTGCTGAACTTGCTTTTATATGAGACCTGAAAACAGGATTATTGTGCATTGACACATGATTGGCCAGTAGGTGTCCATGTTGCCCTGCAGTCACACAAGATATGTCAATTCTGAGCAAATAAGTCCCATAAAGCTCTGGCTTTAAATCTCAGGAGCCCCTCAATTTTGAATTAAATTTTAAACATTTTAATGCCAGCTCACGGTCATAAGACCCTGAAAAGCACATGCTCAGTTTAACTACAAGAGTTTGATAAAATAAAATAAAATAAAATAATTAGACAGTAGGAAATAATTTATTAGAATCTGAGCTGCTTTAACATTCACAGTTACAAATTGCTTGCTTGGAGCTAAACGTCATTGCAAATACACAGCTCCTCGGAGATGTAAAAACCCCTTTTAATAGCTGGTAGAAAATACAAACCAGTAAAAACAATAATTTAAGAAAGAACTTAAGCTGAAGTCTTATTATTAGACTAAGCTGTAGATTCTGTCCATATGCATCCAGTATCAGATTTAGAAAAATAGCCCAAATGAAACTATGAAATTGATGTGAAAATCAACTGAAATAAACAGTGACTGGCCTGCTGTGTAAACAGAAACTGTGTTATAGGAAGTCCTAGACTCTGCTCTGTAAACTCCAGCCCTTCCCATTACCTTTAAAGGAGAGTGTACCCTGAACTAAATATGGACATGCACTTTAACTGGATTTCGAAGAATGTCCCAGCCTCACAGTCTGCTTTGATGATGGGAGCCTCTTGCAGTCCATCACTGGTACCCCTCACTGCAGCACTGTGAGTGCAGGATTGATGCCTTTGCTGGCTTTTTGGTGATCAGGATCCAGCAGGACACATTGGAATATTGTAGAAGAGCACCATCCTGACTGAAGAGTAAAAGATTTACCCTCTGGTGCATTAAGTTATTCTGGAAAACGCCAGGCCAGAGATGTCCAGGCGAAAGGTGAGGGGACTGACCTGTACAGGTCGGCAGGTCAGTGAGGACCCAGATCTGGACAACCTGCTCTCCACTCTCTCCCCTGAGGAGATGGAGGAGCTGGACAAGGACCTGATGAGTGTTCCAGACATCAGACCAGAAGACGGGAAGATCATCATCACCCAGGGGGAAATCCACCCAGCTCTGAGCAATAACGTCCAGGACTCCACGAAACAAAGCGACCCCAAAGGGAGGCTCGGTCAGAGAGAGCAGTCTTTTGAGGTAGGAGGGAAGTAAAAACTTTCAAATTATCCAATGTGAATTTAAATTTCAATGTAGATTGGTTTAACTTAGGCAATGTTTACAGTAAGATGGAGTTCTAACGGTCACTAATCTTGAGGCAACTGGACCTCATGTGTCCTGAGTCCATCAACTCAAAAATAGTGATTTCCCCAAGGTGACCGGTGTGCCAGGAAAACCCATTCCCTCCTCTGAGGCTCGTTTGCATCCACACTGCGCTCCTTTATCATAACCATGATCAGAAGAGCAGACCCTGACAAAGTTCTTTTCCTGACAGCCACAAATATTTTTGACAGCTACAGAAGGTAGAGGAGCAGCATTTCTGTCAGTCTGTGTATTTAGAGAAGGAGCTGTCCAGTCTGTGACACTGCGGAGCTTCCCAATCCCAGCCTGATGGAATTCCTCGCTTGATTGCTCCTACGCTCGCTGCCTTTTAAGGACACGTTTGCCAGGGCCGCGGCCGCACGTAGCAAAGCACTTGGAGGCTCACAAATCAAACACTTAGCAAGTTACTTGCTTCAAACGTTTTCCTGCACTGTAAAAAATTACTTCCCTGTTCTTTTCCTGAGTTGAAACACATCCCCTGGGTTTGAAGGAGTGTGTGGATGGAGACCAGCTTTAAAAGCGATCCACAACTGATCATCTTGCATAGTGTGTGCACTGAGTGGAAAACAGTGCCTGACAAATATATACTCCATGAACCTTTTTGCATTTTGTTGCATGTCAACCAAATACTTCAAAGTTTATATTGGGATTGTATATGAAGAATCAACACAAGGTGGTGCATAATTGTGATATACCACTGGTTTTATGTTTAGGGTCATTGAAAGGAAGAAACCCAGTTTCAAATCTTCAGCTTCTTCCATTTTTCTTGCGTATTTATCATCATCATCCATCTTCCCAAAAACTCTTACCTGATTCTCTGACCCAGTTGAGAAAAGGGATGGTGTCACCACCATGCTTCAGGATGCAAGGTTAGGTTACCTCCAAATTAGTGGTGCAATAAATCAGCTTTGATTTTCTTAATCTTGGGAGATCTGTTATCAGCCGAAACTTACATGTGAAGCCTGTCTTATCCACTGATCTTATCTTCCTTGGCAAAGGTCTAAAAATCTACCACTGTCCTCTTTTTCTCTCCCTTGAGAGATGGTTGACAGACAAACCCACCAACCAGGTAATGTCTGTACAAGAGGCTGGCAGTAACTCTGACTGCAGACGTATGCAGCTCAAGTTTGGACAACTATTCTCTTCATAATATTTTTACTTTATGTGACAAAGTTACTGTTTGAGGAAGTCTTAAGGAATCCTGTTTGCATTTACCCACATGCCAGGGGTAAAGAGAAAAAAATCAGAAGAGGTCTATCTGGATTTGACCAAAATTTAACTTTCTGCTGTACTGTGTGTGGAGAAAAACTGACAAGATACATCAACCTGAACACACCGTCACCAAAAGGTTGCGGTAGCATTATGTTATGATTGTTCTTTCCTTCAGCAAGGAAGATGATAGGAGCTAAATACAAGACCTATGCAGGCTACTTGTTCCAGACATTTATTTGTTTAAAAAACATTTCACTTTGTGTCGGTTCATTGCATAAAATTGATTAAAAATACATTGAAGTTTGTAGTTGTACTACGACAACTTAATTTAAAGGTTTTAAAGTTCAAAAACTTTAAATTAATTTATTAGGTTCTGCAAATGCAACCTCAAACTCTAAATCAGTGACATATTATGCAATTATTTCCTTTGCACTCACTGTTCATCCTTCTGCAGGGAGAACAAAAGAAAGAGAGCCGGAAGCAGGAATACCTGAGGAAGATGGGCCTCAGCCAGGAAGGCGACGATGATACGAAAGGAGTGCGAAGACGGTCTAGTGTGACGACTGACAGAGATGCAAAGGTGGAGGACAGAAACAGCAAAGTATCTGAAAGTGTGAGAGAAGAGCGAAGCTGGCGTTCAAGTAGATACAGCAGGAAGGTCGAAAGTGATGCAAAGGAGGATCTGAATGAGAAAGAGAAATGTGAGGAATACAAGTCAAAAGACAGGAGGGAAAACAGAGAAAGCACAGGAAGCAAGACAAAGGAGATGATCTCAAAATTGCAGGAAAAAAAAGATGAGAGCAAAGAGAAGGAAAAGAGGGAGGACTGCAGGAAAAGGGATGATAGTAAAACCAAAGATATCATCTCAAAGCTGCGTGAAAAGAGCGAGAAGGACGTGGGAAAGGAAAGGGAACGAAAATCCGAGAACTTCCGGACACAAGGGCTCGTCTCGAAAATGGTTGAGAAACAAGCCAAAGCACCTGAGAGCCAATCCCAAGAGACTAAAAAAGCAGAAGGGAAAAACAAGCCTGAGGCCAACAAGCTAGCTGACAAATCTGAGGAGCAGGTAACACAGAACAAGGCAGAAATCAGAACAGACAGGGAAGAGCTGGTCAATCACAGTGACCATGTGAAAGAGAAATACAGAAAGATCAGCATTGATATGAAGGCTGAGGAGAAAAAGGAAAAAGATGACATTAAAGAAAGACTTATTGACGCAGAAGAAAAACCAAAACTTGGAAACTGTGTGGCCAAAAACAGCCCAAGCAGCAAGACTAAGCAGGAGGAAGAGGAAGATGAAGACTCAAGCATGTTCGATGAGCTGATAGAGCAAGTCCGTAGCAACGACCCTTCCCTCACCGAACTCAACGTAAACAACTCAGAGGTCATCAAGGCAAAAACGCTCATCGAGTTTGCACAAGGCTTGCACAGCAACACCCATGTGAAGACGTTTGCGTTGGCCAACTGTCGAGCAGACGACCATGTGGCTTACGCCATCGCCGCCATGCTGCGCAGCAACAAGACCATCACCAGCATCAACCTGGACTCCAACCATCTCACCGGCAAGGGCATCCTATCTCTGATCCAGTCACTGCAGTACAATGCCACGCTGACAGAGCTTCGATTTCAGAACCAGCGCCACATATGCGGCGGGAAGACTGAGATGGAGATGATCAAGATCCTGAAGGACAACACCACACTGCTCAAACTGGGCTACCACTTTGAGTTGGCAGGGCCGAGGATGACCACCACCAACATCCTGAGTCGCAACATGGACAGACAGAGACAGAGGCGCCTGCAGGAGCAGAAACAGGCCCAGGCCAACGGTGAGAAAAAAGGGACCCTAGAGGTACCTAAAACAGGAGGTGGAGGGTCTTTGAAGAGTTCACCAAAGTCTTCCCCAAAACCCTCTCCAATTCCTTCACCCATGCCTTCCCCTAAGCTGACTCTCAAAAAACGAGCTGGAGGTTCTGCTCCTCCACCACCTCCTCCTCCTCCAGGCGGTGGACCACCTCCTCCTCCACCTCCCATGATGGATGGAGACCGCTCTTCTGGTGGCAAGAACTCAAGGGACCAACTGCTAGCATCAATCAGAGGAAGCAACATCAAGCAGCTAAAGAAGGTAGGAGCAGTATGACGTGTTTCTAGATAGATCAACTCATTCAGATAGACTCACATCTTATTCTCCCCACAGGTGCCAGTACCAAAATGGCTGCAGTAACACTTCCTGATGGAAACATTTAGTGGACAAAAAGAAAGGGAGAACACACATCTCATCACAGGAGACAAACATCCTTGATGAAGAACGGTGCATCAGGAAGGAGGGGGAAATGTGAGCTGTTTGCCCTCTCAGAGATTTCTCCCCTCAAACACTGGACCAAAGGGACTCTGTGGAGAACAAGTGATGCAGGTCTCTACAGAGAGTGCCATGAAATGTTGCCTTTTCAGTTCATATGGATGCTTTTTTTGCACTATATAATATGAAGCTGACCATATAACATGTTGGTGTGTGCAGTGGATATCACAGGTTTACACAGCCTTATTATTAACATTTCATCTTCTTGCAGAAAATAAGAAAACAATGGGAAATCATTTCAAAGTGTTTTCCACTTTTATTGTGACATAACCTTTACAAATAAAATGAAATCAAACTTTGGACAGAATATGGACCATGTTTATAGTTGTTTGTAAAATACTAAATAAGTACACACTAAACAAAAACAATACACAAACAGAACTTCTTTTTTTTAATTTTCCTGAATACAATTCAAGAAATTATAAATTGAGAGCAAATCAAAACAAAATCATTTTTGAGCTGGAGTTGATAAATTACAATACAAACATTTCCAGAGGGAATCTAAAACTAAAATATTCATCTTATCATGTTACCGATCCAATACTTACACTGACTTGGTATCAATATTCTCAATATTTTCTAGAGAAATGTATCTTTAGAAATTGAAGCCCATTTTATTAACCTCACAGCATAATTACTTAAGACATATTTTGGCAAAACTGCGATATCTGCGAAAATGCTGTCATTTAGTGAATGTACTCCCTAACACAGATATATATACATGTCACATTAAAGGTAGTAAATATTTTGAACTGATCCATCATAGTCTCTTTTTTTAAAATAAATCCAATGTATATGAAGAGGGCTCTGTAAACTTCTATTTGATCCACTGTATATGAGTTAAGTTGAGTGAGGTGGGAGCATGGGATGAGTTTAGTTTCAAATAACTATAAATGTATTGCTTAAACAAAAGTTTATCACTGATGTACTGAACATTAATTTGACCCCTTATTTATTAAGACCCACAGCAGTAGGTGTGTTCAACTGGGTGGAAATATCAGGGAATTAACAAACACAGAAACAAACTTCAGCAAATCTGAGTACCGAAACAAAACCAAACAAAACAAGATCATAAACACCTTTTTATTTTTTGTGTCATGTCTTTTTTTTAAAAAAACATCTCAGACAGTCCAGAGAAATCCTGAAACATAATGAGGGATTTTTACCATGGAAATAATTGGATAGTGCCATTTATAGGTCAGAGTGAATGGTCCTATAGTGTATGATATACTGTATTTTATAGAGAATCATTTGAGCCTGGCTGTTTTGTTATCTGAATAAACTTTCTTTTAATACTGCTTCATGTCTTAACATTTTGCTGGTTTAAACTTTAATCTAAATATCAGCCTGAGCAGAACTTGATACTGTGTGGCGAGCTAAAATCAGAGCTATCTGAAGATAAACACACGCGTCTCCTTACACATGTGTCTTTAACAGAGCCTGTATGCCTTTATTAAAAGATTCTGGTATGTTTGTGAGTGAAAAATTATGTCTGCCTGATGTATGAAATAAATATGAATGAATTTTGTGTTAAGTGTTTGATACATTTGAACTGTTTTTTAGTCTGCATGAATTTGCATTTTGCAAAACCTTGTATCTATATTTTGTCACATCGCAGCAAGAACAGACTTTGATGCTACATGAAATTTGGAGACAGAGTAACTCAAAGTAGTGCTAGATTCATAAGTCAAATGACTTTTTTTACATAAAGGGAAACATAAAAAACATTCCATTTCTTAATATTTAAGCATATAAGTGAATATGTTTGAGAGTCCATTGTATCTTTGTGGAAGTGGAGACTAATGTTTGAACATATTCTAAATTGGATTTGTTGGAAAAATTGTTCACATTTGAAATCTTCCCACACATTCTCAATTGGATTTGGATCTGAACTTAGATCATTTGAACACACGTTTATCTCAGCTATTCCGCTGTAACTGGCTTTATGAGCTACTGTTGTTATTCTGAAGTCATTTGGATCCTCTGAAACATTTTCTTTCAGCATTGACCAGTATTTAGCTCCAACCATGTTCTCATCAACTCTGTATGATGGCCACCTTGTTCCATATATTCTTTGTTTGGAGACCAGCGGGTGTTTTTTTTTCCATAAGTGTGAAATGGAGAGCAACGACCTTGAGGGTGCTATCATCAATGTTATTGCTGTGTGCTTAAAATGAATTCACAACTCTTTAAATTCACTACATTGCTTTAAAAACTGGTAGCAGAACAAAATCAACCTTTTTTCCCCTTTCTTCAAATAAAGCAAACACACAGTCTGCAGTATTGGTCTTTAAATATATTGTCTGTAACACTCTTCATATCTTCTATAAATTGCCAAACGCTAATGCATGACATTTGCTTCTTATCTTGCTGATTGTACCTGTCATGTAAACAGCATGAATTATTTTCTATCTGAATTATCTGAAATGATGACCGTCATCTTGGCTTGGAGGAGAAGAAAGGAACAGCAGCAACAACAGTTCAGTGTATCTCTCCAAACCCTGCCTCAGCCTCTGTATCCATGAATTGACCGTATTTGGTCATTTCTCAATGAGGGCTCGCTCCTTAGAACCATTCCTTTCCCCCTTTCTAATAGTGGGCAGCAGGCCAGCTGTGTGTCTGGGCTGTGGCTGCTCCTCTGACCAGCACCGCTCATATCGGATGGAGGAAAAAAGGGGAAGGAATGAAAATGTTGAGCTTACTGACTCAGAGTAAGCAGAGGGGTTCCAGAAAATATAGTCATCATTTAAAAGGGGTGGAAAACTTAGCTATAACCACAATATTACATATATATATAACTAATTGAGGTTTGACTTTGCAAATCACATTTTTGCTTTGTAAAAAACTTGAAAATTGATATGAAGAATAAGCAAATTGGTGATTGTGTGTAAAAACATGCATCATGCTTATCTAACTGACCTTCTACATTGCTAAAATGAGTTAAAAAAAAAACAGGAAATGCATGAAAGCATTGATAATGTGTGTGCTGGACTGAATAGAGCAGCTTTTCAAACTGATACAATGAGAATAGATCTGGTTAACATTGAATTATTGAACCTTCTCACCTCTGCAGTGTGTTTTTAATGTTTTAATTATTTTCACCAGTATAAATCCTGATAATAGACATGATTGCCAAGGTAAACAGATGCCAGAATTTAATTACATTTATATTATGGACTGACCAATGAAAACCAGTTTAAATACAAATTGTTTAAAGTGATGAATATTTTAGTTCACATTCTCACCTATAAATCATTCAGATGCAAAGCAGAGATATGTCAAAGATCCTATTTAAAAACAGCTCTTGAGTCACTTTCTTACTTGTAGTCTGCAATAAAAACACACCGTGTGTGAATTTCTTTAAAAATCTTATACAGAAAAGGCTCCAACAGTTTTTACAAAAGCAGAATAATATTCACTAATTTCAAATATATGCTATTAGGTGAAAAAAATAGCATTCATCTGATGAGTCCCTGTTTCTATTAATTTCTGTCTTATGTTTTTGCTGAAAAATATCACAATCTACAACTCTTTGAAGATAATGAGATAATATGAGGTACGTATATAATACGGGTTTCCCTTCGGGATAAATAAATTATTTCTGAATTTAATTAATTGGATTTAATTAATCTATATTACTGAGATATACTTTCTGAAATTAGTTACAAAACATATCAACTTGCACTATTTTCCATTTTTCTGAGTTGTAATCTGCAGTGAACCTGACTATATCCATATTTAATCGATAGGGGGCAGTATTCAATTTCAAAGTTTATTTACGGTTCGCTAATCAAAATAGAAAAAAGGCGAAGGAGAACTTACGTCAGGGGGGAACATCGAAAGAACAAAATGGAGGAGTATGCTAGAGAACCATGGTGAGTTTTAAAACAACAAGAACACTGTTTTAGTGACGTTAAGTAAAAAACCCACGGTAGTGGCTTATATTTGAATAGGAATCTTGTTCTGTGTCTATCTTTGTTGACAATGTTGCCGTCTGTAGGATATTTGAAACATCTCATCAGCATCGGTAACGCTGGCTAACATTAGCTGGAATGCTAACACCCCATAGCAAATGAATAGGATGAGTATGCTAACATCAGGTTTCATGGCTAGAATCACGTTGTTAGTGACCTTGTCGGCTTTTTCGCCCACATGTTACTGTAAAACATTTAGCGACTAAAGAGTAACAGAATGTGAACCAGAAACTGCACATTGTTTGCTTTTTCTTGTTACCGCTAACATAAAAGTTGCTGTTTGGGTTAAATATTTCAGTTATTGTTGATTTAGCTGTTAGACCAGTCAGCTACCCATCTCCATGCTAACGATCCACGATTACACAACAATGTTACAGGTTTATTTTTCGGTGTATACTTGACTTGAATGTGCATGTAAAGGGAGGTTTAAATCCGGATTTGGCGTCGTAGAGTTTTTAGGTTACCTTTATGTAGAGAAACGTAATCAACCTATACTTATCAAAGCACGTCTGATGAGTTAAAGGTTTATTTTCTTAAACTTTTAAGATGAAAACGATCATTTTGAATTTTATACTTATTTTTCTTCTATGGTTACGGTTTATAGCTACTAGTTTAGAATTAAAAAGCATAGTGTAACATTAAATGTTCGCGTTAAATTGACTCGAAAAATTAAGGTGATGTAAGATTAGATATTGACATTTCTAATCAACTGCCTGTGCTACTTATTCCGAATCCATAATTATTTTAAATTCTACTGTTAAAATGAAATGCTCCAAATCCAACAATAACACAGAGTTTTTTTTCACTATTTTATTTACTTTTTTTGTTGTTCTTTAAACAAAATCACTAAAGACATCAAAATAGGTATTTTTCTGTGGATTGAAATGAAATAAAACTAGTGTCTGTGAAGAAATTTTGCTTAAGATTGTTTTAGAAAGTGGAAGAGCAAAACTTTGACTCAAGCTTTTTGAATATTATTGCCTCATTGTTATTATTGTTAAATAACTGTATTTAACAATAAAATTGCTGTAGCATAATTTCCTATTATTGTGCAGGAGTTACTGTTGTCTCTATTTAGCCAGTGTTATTATGATCATTTTGGATGTTATGCCTGGAAACTTTGAATTGAAAAATGTAAGAATTGTTGAATGCTGCTCACATAAATGGTTAATTTTCATGCATTTTAATTTGATAGAGTGGTGAGATTATGCTGTTGGTATTTTTAATCATATTCCCAAGAGTGTCTTCATGTAACAGACACACAAACAGCATCTCAGATATTTTTTAAATGTGACTTCAGACTCAGGATATTTTATATTTGTTATATTGCTTACTTTCTTTCCTTCTTTCAGCCCCTGGCGAATTGTGGACGACTGTGGTGGAGCTTTCACCATGGGGGCCATTGGAGGAGGAATATTTCAGGCAGTGAAAGGTTTCAGAAATGCACCTTCGGTATGTTACCAAGCCACATTATGTTACAGACTTTTTCTTAATCACACACACTTTCATAAAGCCAGCACTGGCATAAAGCACACTGGCCTTGTGGCTCTGCGGCTTGTTCAAGGATACTATGATTTATGACTGGGGCCTTGATCTGTGTTTATTTGAATTGAAACATGGTCATTTCCACTTATAAAGTTTTGTTTTTCCATCTTTTAGTTTTTACCAATATGAGCTGAGTATCGATTTCCACTAATCAGTGCTATTGTTGCTCTTTTTTGCAGGGGATGAGCCACAGAATGAGGGGGAGTTTAACTTCCATCAAGACCAGAGCTCCACAACTGGGAGGTAAGAATAAATACCCCAAAACAAGTTGTTCTTTTATAAACATTGTCTGCAATCTAGTTTCCTTTTTTATCACTGAAACATTTACAGTGAAGCTTTTCTTAATTGACCTCATTTACCTATTCTCTAAACTACTTTAAGGTTTTGCTTTTTGGTTGCAATCAGTTGCGATCATGTAAACCAGGGGTCCCCAAAGTCGGTCCTCGAGGGCTGGCATCCTGCGTGTTTTAGTTCTCTCCTTGGTGGAACTGACAACCTTTTCAGAATGTCAATGTTCTTCTTAGGCCTCTAATGACCCATCATTTGATTCACGTGGGTTAAATCAGGGAGAGAACTAACACGTGCAGGATGCTGGCCCTCGAGAACCGACTTTGGGGAACCCCTGATGTAAACAGTCAATCAATGCCTTCAGTTTTCTCTCTACTACTTTGTGTGTCCGTGTTTTTCAGGTAGCTTTGCAGTGTGGGGAGGCCTCTTCTCCATGATTGACTGTGGTTTAGTAAAAGTGCGAGGCAAAGAAGATCCCTGGAATTCAATAACAAGTGGGGCCATGACAGGTGCCATTCTCGCTGCCAGAAGTGAGTACATTAAGAGGACATTTTAAAAATGTCACAATTTTTTTGCTTTTAATTTTATATTAATTTTTTGTGGATTCTGAAGTACAAGTTTCTTGTGTCCACAGATGGACCAGTAGCCATGGTGGGCTCAGCAGCGATGGGCGGTATTCTGCTGGCTTTGATAGAAGGTGCTGGGATCTTACTTACAAGGT